TATAAGCACAAAAATGTTGTCTCTTCAGTCTCTTTTGAAAAATATCAGATATACTAAGATCATCAATTCTTTTACTTAGCATACTGAAAATATTTCTTTTGAAATTCTTTCTTAAAACAGATATCAAAGGAAGTGGTGTCTGTGTGTGTATATATAAATAAACAAAAACAACACTAAGCCTACCAAATGAAAAAAAAATGTAAAGACCAAAGAAAATGAAAAAGAAATCAGGAAAAAAAAAAAAAAAAAAAAAAAAAAAAAAAAAAAAACAGGTAGTCACTGGCTTACACAGAACCTAAAGTGTTCAATGCCTCTAAAAAGCAGACTAAGACAGCAGTAACACTAACAAACTAAACACCACTCGGAGACTGATTCAAAATTTTAACTCTAAATTTCATGCTTTCCAACTCTCTTTCACTCCTTGTGTCTTAGTGGCATTATCGCCTTGCTCAGAGTGAACTGATTATAAAACAAAATTACATCAGGCACCAAAAATTGGTTATTGTTGCCTGATGATTACAAAGTGTTAAATGCAGATTCATAATTTCAATCTGAGTACAAGTGCTGTTTGGTTTGTTAGCATGTGTATTATATATATATATATATATATATATATATATATATATATATATATATATAGTGGACATTGAAGAGAACCCCCAGAGGCAACAGTCTGTTTTATGCTAAATACAATCATCAGGTCATGTACATTGTGTTTTTGATCAACCATTTATATATACAGGCCAGTATTGCATTATAGGTCATCTATTGTATTTCCTCAGTTATTTTGGTGGGTAATAATGGTTGCGTTTTGAATTAAACTAGTTGCTACTGAGTGGGAATAATTGTGAATCTGGATGCAGTTTTTTTGGCAATTTATAGTGTTGTTAGTTAACTTTTCTATTTATTATTGATTACTTTATTGTTGCTTGCTATTATTATGTTTTCTTGTGTTTATCTGTGCGTATTTGGTTTATTAATTTGTTTATCATTTACTTACTTATTTATTTGTTTGGATTAAATTTATTTATTTATTTTACTTGATTTTATTTATTAATTTCCATTTTATTTGAATCACCATTAATAATGGAAAGAACAATAACAGCTACTGAACTTGAAAAATCTATTTTCCTGAAAATTTTTATTAATAGGGAAAACAGCTATTACCATGGCAGATTAAGCACTGCAAATCACAAATATAAAAAAAAATAATTAAATTCTACCAGATTTAATAGGGAAGTCCAGTTTGCCATATACCATTGATTATAACCCTTACATGAGTCAAAACAAGTATGTGTATAGGAAGTGATTTCTTCAAATGTAAAAAAAAATAATTAAATTCTACCAGATTTAATAGGGAAGTCCAGTTTACCATATACCATTGATTATAACCCTTACATGAGTCAAAACAAGTATGTGTATAGGAAGTGATTTCTTCAAATGTAAAAAAAAAAAATCTAGGGTGCTTAATTGATAGGAGTATGACAAAACAATTCCATGAAATTACTAAGAAAAATGTATTTTTTACATTTTAAGAAAAAGTCTTTGAGCATATCTGTTTTCTCTTGCATAGTGGGATAAATTTACAATAAATTTACAAAGCAAATTAACGTTTATAAAATTTAATAAAAAAATTTGACATTTGTTTTACGTAGTGCTTAATCTATCAAAGAAAAATTTTAAAAAGAATGATTATTTCATTTCACAGTAACTATTTGTACCACTATCAAAATCCTACTTTTTATTTTTCCCATGCACAAAAACTTGAATGAGAAACATTTAAATTTCTACCAATTTTTCCCTACCCAATTATTAGAATATTACCTGAATTTGACATATTTTAAAATATTTTCTTATAGTGTGATTAAACTTTTGCTAACCATTTACTTTATAAAAGTCAGCTCATTGCCTCACCAGAGTAATTGTATTCATGATACATGTGTGATGCAAGTATATCATTTTTCTTATAAGCATACAAAACTGTCCCAAATACCTTGTCCATTGAAGAAAAGCTCACCCTCAAAATGTTCAATATAGAAACATATCAGTGATAAAATGTATACACTGACATATGTATACTTATGTATAAATGCACTTGTGCCTGTTTTTTTGTGTGTGAGTATGTGTACAAAGTACTATCCAAGTTTCAGAAATTTTAACACATGTACCACAAATATAATCCAGACTTGCCACTACCCTCAGTGAACGATGTATATAGGCAAGAGATGAATTCAAAGGAAATGGTGAAAAGGAGTTTTTTTCGTTTTTTTTTTTTTAAAGATAACTGATTATTTTTCATTATAAAATCTCCTGAACATTTTTGGTGATGTCTTACACACATTTTTATATATATATATATATATATATATATATATATAAAATAATCCTTTCTAGTTTTCTAATCAGTTTCCTGAGGTTAAGAAAGGTGCCATAGTTTTTTTCTTACCCAAGTACTTTCAATTTCTTCTGAGATAATCCTCAGGTGTGAATTACAAAGACAAACTTATTGTAACTGTGATCGTGTCAAAGTGCATTTAGTGCAATTTGCATTTATACCAAATTTTTATCTCATATATATATATATATATATATATATATATTTCTGGTTAGCTCCCTTACATTGAACATGTGTTTTGAAAAAAATCCATACTTACAATGGATAAATTTAAATTTTGAAAATAATTATAAGAGTGTGTTTTTTTAAAAAATCAACCATGAAAAAAGAAAAAAAAAAAAGATCATCCCCTTTGTAATTCACCCCTGAGGATAATCTTGAAGGAGACTGAAAGTACTTGGACAAGAAAAAAATCACAGTGCCTTCCTTGATGAATTTCATCTTAACATCAGGAAACTGATTAGAAAACGAGAAAGGATTATTATAAAAATAGCTATGTTTATATTATTCAATGAAACATGCTTGAATGAAGATATACTGCCTATATATATATATATATATATATATATATATATATATACAAAAAGGTAATGCAATTAGACTTTTTTTTATTGTATTCATACAAATGCAAGAAAATCTAATAAACATTTTAACTGCTTTACCATTTCTGTTGTCTTTAATGAAGAGGGATTGTGTATAAAATCAAAAAGCATTGAAGTTACAAAAAGCAGTGCTCAAATGTAAAAAGTTACAGAGCAAGATATAACTGAAGATAAAATATAAAAAGGTACTGAACCTGAACTTTCATCTGCTTTCGCAACTTAAAGTTTCATATGCAAAAAAGCGAGCTTCATCAAACAGAATCTTCAGGTGATTAGGAAGAGGAAGTAGATTCTAATATCCTTCCTGACCGCCTGAATTTTTTCAGTTATCTATGGGATAAAACTGCTTCATATTAGGGACAGAGTGTATGAAAAGAGTGTGGATATAGCTATTAATACTGAATGACAAAGTCTGTTTCATGCTTAAATGTAATCGGCAGGCTTTTAACAATCATTATATTTATACATGAAACAGTGTCCACACACTATATATATATATATATATATGTAAGCAAATATATGGATATAGATCCGACAGTATAAAGAAAAATTTTTGTTTTGTTTTTCAGTATATTTTTCTTCATTCATATATATATATATATATATATATATATATATATATGACATTTGGAAAAATATTCATGAACATCAATAACTGATAACTGTCGGGATTACATACCCCAATTTTTATATTTATATATATATATATAAAAATGTATGTGTGTGTGTGTGTATATAAAGCAACAAGAATTCATTTAAACAGTTTTTGTTAGATTCAACTGACAAGATTTTTTATTTTTATTGTACTTTTCCTATTTTTGAATAAGAGATGTGTGCGCGTCTGTGTATGTGTGTATATATATATATATATATATATATATATAATACCCTGATACATGTGGCTGTATACTGGATACACGCAACGGTTAAATCTAAGTCAATAATCCAGGTAAACACTGGCAAGACTCACCTGTGAAAAGAATCATCCCACAATAACAAGTACTTATATCCAAGTGACAAGTAAGAAAGTCCCCTGACTGCCTGATCAAAGGCAAGCTGGGTGAGTAAGAGAAGCAGACAGTGTTGACCAGTTCCTCTGTATAGATGCTAAGAGTGCCAGCTGGTGGAGGTAATTAAGTTTCAAAGTTGTGTTAAATATTGCAATGTTGGAGATTATTATATAGAGTAATGTGCCCTGGGGCAGCAACACAACACCAGGGCAGACAAGAAAATAGTCAATTGTAAAAAAAAAAAAAAATATATATATTTATATAATAACAAAAGCAGCAGAATAGGAAAATATCTTAAAATAATGATTATCACAGTTATTGGAATCTTCTTGGGATCTTTCTGCTGAATTAATAAATGTGAGCGACAGACAGTCTGTGTAATTTTCACATGGTTATCAGTTTGGTCACACTTATCGGTGAACTATCAAAAGTCTTACCTGCCAGTTTTAAGAGCAAGTCCTGGCAGCTGGCAAAGATAACTTGAGTTGTTGCCGGTAACAAATACAAGAAGGATGCTGATGAAAGGAATACATGTGGAGGCAGTCCAAGCTACAAGGTGTTCCTTCAACTTCCTACTTTCATTTCTAGAAGTGACAGTGACAATGTCAGCAGCGGTAGAAAAATGGCCTACCGCTGCAGTGAGTGAATCATCAAGACAGTAGAGGATGAAGGAAGCCCTGCAGGGTGATAGCAGTGAGTGTTGTTGCTCATCTGATATGTTGATGCATTAAGAGAGTGTAATATTGATCATAGGATGAGAGTTGGGGGGTGGGGGTGGAATGTGTAAGGATATTGTTGGAGAAAAAGGATGAGTGGAGAGCTTGACTGGATGAAGCAACACTGTGAAAAAGAATATAGAATTAAAAAAAAAAAAAAAAAAAAATGGAAAAAGGAACATATTGAGAGAATGAGAAAATTAAGATAAAAAGAGAGGCAAAGTAATTGATGGAGAAAAGAAAGAAAAACAAAGAAAAAAGAAGGGAGATTAGAAAGTCAATTGGGGGCAGTGATGAAACAGTTGAAAAATGATGTGAGAGAAAGAAAAAACAGCTGGAAGATGAAAGAATGAGTTATGGATAGAAAAAAAAATGAAAATGATGTAACAGGAGTGAGTGAGGGGAGAGATTGGAGAGTGGAGGGGATGAATAAAAGGCCAGGGATCAAAGAGGTAACGGGAGGAGGATAAAGAGAAATCAAAAGATCGAAGAGGCAGGGGAGAGGGGTATTAGAGAAGGCCGGAGATCGAAGAAGCTCTGTTTGGGGGAAGGTAGGTGGTGGAAAAGAAGAGGCTAAAGGAAAAGCAGCGGGACAAGGGGATGGATAAAGAGAAGGTAGGAGAGGAAGAAGAGGGCTAGAGAGAGAAGAATATATCAGAGAAATGACATGTACTTAAGAGAGAGATAAGAAAAATTGTTTTTTTTTATTTTAATGATGTTCACTCTGTACAAGGCCCAAGAGCCACTTGCGGTAGAGGGTTACAGAGTAAAGGGCACAGTTTAGGGAGATATCTGGGGAAGATAACTTAATCCTAGACTTCAACAGGTTAAGATTGCAGTGATCAGGGAAGCATATTCTTGGAAGTTGGTTCCACAAATTAGTGATTCATGGGAAGAAACTGCTCAAGTGGAACTTATGTCTCACCAATTGGATACGAAGGAAATGAGAACAGTTCACTACAATGGGCGTGGCATGATGGCTCTTAGACCATTAAGTTTAGAACTGGTAGAAGTCAGAAATGTAGTTCATATGAACACTTCTCATGGAAATAGCGATAAATCAGTGAGAGGCTCGTAAAGTTTCATTTGTTGGAAAGGGGTTCTAAGGTGGAAAATAATTCATCACTCATAAGGACACTGAGACACTTTTGGAGTCCATTGAGACTGGAAAGTGAAGACTAAGCAGTTCCTGTTCATATATGGCAGCAGTACTCCATTTTCAGCCTGATGTGGCTCTTGTAAAGGTAGAGGATAGCAGGAGTCAGATACTAATTGGAGTGGTACAGGGAACTCACCATTTTCCACTTGAGGTTGAGCTTAAGTCCTAATAGGCGCTCAAGGTATGGGGCATCTATGAGAGAACACCCGTTTGTGACAGAAATCAAGATTAAATTTCCAAAGTATTTTATTTTATATATATATATATATATATATATATATATATATATATAAATAAATATATATATGTGTGTGTGTGTGTGTGTACACACAGACACACAAAAAGGTGGGATGAATAAATTGTCATCTAAATTATGCAAAAATGAAAATAACAATGACATCTCACTTTAACAGATATATTTACCAAAATTACATGAAAATATCTTGAAGTACTAAAAAGTAAATTTATTCAATAAAATCGCCATTGGCTTCAACCAGGACCTCCAGACGACTTCAGAATCTCCTGCAACTCTTCTGGACAGTTTCTTTGTTTAAGTTGATGAATGCTGCCATAATACTTGCCTTCAGTTCATCTTTGGTATTACAAGAAGTTTTGTTGGTTTCTTGCTCAACTGTGCCTCACACATAATAATCAAGAGAGTTTTAAGTCTGGGGAGTTAGGTGGCTAGATGTAGTTGTAGGAATTGTCTAACAGCCATGACTGGGTTCTCCGGCTTGTGTGGCATGGTGCCAGACATAGGATTTTCCAGTAGCCACTCTCTTGACCTAGGGCAGACTACCTCCTCAAGGCACTCGATGGAGGCCTTCATGTTCAGTCAAGGCCCTGAGGGAGAATGAAAGGAGGCATAATGTCACCATCACTCCAAACACCTTCGTAATCACCATTAAACTCATCCAACTCTTTCCAAATCCCCTGTACAATCCTCAGATTAACACCAAAACACTCGGAAATGTTTGTATTGGAGCTTCTGGCACAGATGCCAAACAGTATAGTATAGCATCCATATTTCTGGCAGAGTGAATTGCATTATGGTGCTCATTTTCTCATAGATGATATCCAACTGATCCTACTATACTGTGTAGTCAACAAAATAAAAAATAAACAACATACATGCACAAAATTAAAAATATAAAAGGGTGACAATTTACCCATCACATCCTCTGTGGACTGTGTGTGTGTGTGTGTGTGTGTGTGTGTGCGTATATATATATATATATATGTGTGTGTGTGTGTGTATATGTGTGTGTGTTTCTTATCACACAATGCTACTCTAATTTTCATGTGCAAGACAATCATCAGGCAAAACTTGGAATTTTGTCCAAACACTTGTCTATTTAATGGTTACAGAAAAAAAAAAAAAAATCTTATTTCTTGACTATAACAAGCATCAAGTCTACCCAAGCATTATCTTTAATATTAATGTTGCTTGCACCATCTTTATTCTTGGATCTTGAAATATTTCAACCTCTTTGCTTGCACTTATCTCAGAATACTCTCAGTTTTTGCAATGATTATAGGAACAGCCATCCCCCCTTAGTTTTCCTTGGATTCACTTATTTTCTGATTCTCTTTTCAGTTTTAACAAACAGTCTGCTAAAATAACCATACCTGATTTTTCTTCCCCTAGTGCAATAAAATCTGGTCTCTGTGTTTTAATGCCCAGAAATTTAATGCCTTTGAGCAAAGCACAAAGCCATCACTTCTTACTCTGACAATTGATTTTTTTTTTTTTTCTCTATGGCTTACTAACACCTTTTAGGTTATTTAAACCGGAGATGTTTTCAATTGTAAGAATAATTCTTTTTTTTACGAGTGAAAATTGCATTAATAACTTTGAGAATAACAAAAATTTTTACGGATAAAAGTTTTGCTATTTAACCAATAGCTGTGTGGAAGAAGATGGATTCATACATTCCCTAAGGATATTTGCATTAAGTAACAAATTTCTCTAGAGTTAGCTATAAGATATCTGATGTAAACATACAAATATATGAATAATAATGAAAATATAGTTTTCTGTAATGGATAATACAAATGTTTCATTGACATTTCAAGCACAAAATACAGTTAATGTATTGATAACTAATGACTACCATTTTATATCATTTGATTACACAAATCTATATATCTGATACTGATGTTTAAGAGACTGGTTGCCATGGAGATAATATATTTGATACAGAGTGATAATATGAGAGTACCAGCAAATAATTCAATGTAAGTTTTATTGTTATGAGAGGATAATCCAGTTATACCAGAATATCTTGGCTGAAAGATTACAGCAAAAACAAAAAACAAGAGCAACAGAGATACTGCCAGAAAGCACAATATTAGTTAATATAATATTAGGCTTTGGCATCAAAAGAAAGGAAAAAATAAACAATAAATATTTAGACGAATAGATAATAGAACAAGAGAGAAAAGCACAATATATCGAACAAGATTTCTATTCTATAGGTCTGTGTAGAAGTAGTTGTATATACAGGGTGTCATGTCCCATAATGATAGAACACATTTTAAATGCAAGTATCAAGACTTTCCTTTTACAATATGACAGAGTACCAAATATATTTATTATATAACTGATGTACAAGATTTGCACTATTTACATTGTTCAGGTTGTTGTCGTAATTTTTGTCATATTCATGACATTTCGGCCATTGTACACTCTGGCCTTCTTCAGGTAATATACATTGGAATTTCAAACCAAACCCTTTATTTAGTCCACTGGGGTAGATTGTTGCAAATATTGCAATAAAAATGAGGACAAAAGTCCAAACAAAGTAAATATTGTAAATTGTCACAATACTCCATCTCAGAAATGTTAGACTGATATACAAGAGTTCAACATATTATCTAAGATTTACATATTACATCCCTGAAATGGTCACCACCACAAAGAGAACAATCACAAGATTGCTCTCTCATTTCAAACACAGATATTATGAGGGTTCACTGTCAGAAAAAGAGATATCAGAAACCTGTAAAAAATAGCAAAATCTTAGAGCATATGTTCAACTCTTGTATATCAGTTATGTAATAAATATATTTGTTACTTGGTGTCATTTTTATAATCCAAGACACTTGCTGTGTCACATCATTAAGGGACAGCCTGTATAATGATTAAAAATTCTAACTTTTGTTTATTCCCTTTTCACTAGAACCATTATTGCTGTAAAATTCATTTTCTGTTTTATAAGTTATAGATATATAACTTTATAGTAATCAGTTAGATGTTGTATCTAATGAGACAAAATGAGAAAACTCATTTCAGAATTAAGAATGTATTTTATTTTACTTGGTGTAAGTACTGGATCTTCGATTAGAGAGTAATCAATGTAACTTCTTATGGAGAGAATAAAACTCTTAATTTACATCATGCAAAAAACAAAAACAAAAAAAAGGTGCTAATGGTAATTTTAGCAGCTTCTTAAAAGGAAACATTTGGCATTCATTGTCTGAACAGTAAGTGCTACTCAAGTTAGGCTTTTCTCCATCAGGTTAGGATCAAAGTGTATTATCTGTTCTTATCTCTAATCATAATAATTATATTAGCCGTTTCCTTATAAGGAAACATTCGGCATTCATTGATCAACAGTCAGTGTTTTTCTAAGGTGAAATTTATATACTCCATCTATAACAATTTTTCAGGAAAATAGCTTTCTAAAGTCCAATAACAGTTACTGCTCTTTCCGTTATTAATGGACACTTCCTTCCTAATCTTTTGTTTGAAGTAGTGTGGAAAGCCAAGATCATTAGTCATATTTTCAAGTTACATACACTACCCATTTCAGTTGTTGCTGCTGTTGAAAGTCTTTGAGTGATGTAGTTTCTGTTATTTTGTACAGTTCTTTGTGATTCTGTAGTACCAGTCTATGAGATTTGAAGGAGGATGGTCCTTGCTAAAACATACAGACTCCATTCAAAGCCATTTTAATCATTGATCTGAGAAAATGGTTTTATATAGATATTTCTGAACCAGTTAGTCACTGTGTATGACATCCATGCAAAAGTCTTGATCTGCTCTGGCTATTTAAGAACATGACTTGTGTTCTTAGGTTAATGCTTTGGTTTTGTAGCAACTTGCAGTGTTGGGTGAAACTACTCTGAAGTGTTTAGTATTTACTTATTATACATCGTGAATTGTTATGATGGATTCATGGAACAGACCATCATGGTCACTTAAGTTGAGTCAAAATTCAGATATGTCTGAGGAAATGAAAACTTCCTATTAGAGAATTGGCAGGAAAATAATGGTTTGTCCATCAAAATTAATGAATAAAATATTAATTAAATAAAAGGAATGTGCTTCATTTTGGTTAAAAATAATGCCTCACTGCATTTAGTAATTAAAAATCCTCTTTTCCTTGATAGGTGAAACTAGGTATACAACATGACATATTATTCTTATTTGTAAAAACACTTACTATATATATATATATATATATATATATATACAGGGTGTTTCAAAAAGAATACGCCAAAATCATCACGTGATATGTCAAAAACAAAAAAAATTACAAGCCTCTAGCATGAACACATGTGTTGTATATACATTCAAGTTTCATTTCATGTTTCATAAGTGCTCAATGTGGCCACCACCGGCAGTGCTGACAACATCAAGCTGATATGAGAATTCCTCCCAAACGCGCCTCAGCATGTCACGGTCCACCGTGTTGATTGCAGCTGCTATTCGATTCTTCAAGTCATCGATACTTGCTGGAAGTGCTGGAACATAAACTTGGTCTTTAACATACCTCCACAAGAAAAAGTCACACACAGTGAGGTCCGGGGATCTGGCAGGCAAAGCACAGAGAGCAAGGTCTTTGCACCTCTCCTCCCAATCAATCACTGAGGCATGTTTTTTTATTCAGATAAGCTCTAACCCAGAGATGCCAATGAGGTGGTGCTCCATCTTGCTGAAAAAATGAAGTCATTCGAATCTGCTTGCAGTAAAGTGAATAGACATTTTTGGAGCATTTTGAGATAGGGTTTGTCCTGTTTGTAGCTGCACGGAAGTTATACTAAATACAAACTAAATGACCGAAATCAAACTTTGACACCCAATCAAACTTTGATAACTCCACTACAATGCTATCAAATAACCACTGATTCAGTCCACTACAATGCTATAGACCTGAAAAAAAGAGTGTAATGATTTTTTAGATTTTTTTACAAAACACCCTGTATATATATATATATATATATATATATATATACACACACACCTAAAAATAGTTTTATTTATATATATATACTAGCAGCATTGCTAGCTAAATCACGTTTGATTCAAAATTGTTTTATTTTTCTTATGACAGTATCATTGTATCACTTATTAGCAACATTTTGATATTTTGCCTTCCTGGATGTCCTTTTTATTGTTACCTATAAATACTTTTTTATTTAACTCGATTTTTTTTCAATTTTTATTTTACATTTCTTTTTAAAACTTAAATGTATTAGAATCCTTTATTTAATCCAAAAATCAATTTAACAAGAAACTTTTCTTTTATAATAAACCTATATTTTAACCTGTAAGTACTGAGGAATTATTCATTTGTTATTAAATAAATTTTTAGACTTTTTAATGCGTGTAGTATTTTTAAAAGAAATTTAGGTTAGAATTCATTCAATTTAACTTTTTAATTACAAATTCAAAATTACAACTAAAATTTTAAAATATTTTCATTGTTTAAGAAAATTGTTAAAGAAAATTCTAAAATATTGAAAAATTTTTAATAATAATAAACCTTTCAAGATTTTCTCAATTTAGTAAACAAAAATTACATATTGTAAAAATTAATAAAGTTTCAAAAAATAAAATATTTACATTATTAAATTTCACCCAAAATTTTAAAATTCAACTTTCATATTTGAGAAAGAATAATTACTTAGTAAGAAAAATTTTTTCATATCAAGAAAAAATAAATATTTTAAAAGAATTTAATATTATTTAAGTATAACTTCACCAATAAACAGATTTATATTTACTTATTTTTTTTTATATAAAATTACAAAATTGGGTCATTCAAAAGTCTTATGGCATTTCATATTAATTTTATAAAAAACCTATATTTGCTTTTTTGGAAGGGGAAAAAAAAAAAAAGAGGGCTTTATAACAGAAGGAATATTACTCATAGTAATAAATTATTTTTCAATATCCAAGTATATATAGTCAATCAGAATCATGAACCCATTTATTCATTTATTACAATTTGCCCATTCATTGCAAGAACTTATTCGTTTTATCACCAATTTTAAAATCCTGCATTGTACCATAATACTGCATATTCATAATTTTTGTGTAAGGGACATTTAAAACCTGGTAAATTTTAAAAAGTTACTCCATTCCATGATCTAATTTATTTTAAAAATAAAATTTTTTTTCATTTCATTGTTCATTTAAGTTCATTTATAATATATATATATATTATATATATATATATATACACAATCCTAAATTGCATATATTTATTAAATGATGGATGGGAAGATGAAAAATTACCTGAAAAATAAACAAAATTTAAAATTTTAACCAAATGAAACACAAAGATAAAACTAAAACAAAACAAAGAAAATTCTAAAATATTGATAATATATATATAATTATTCTGCTACCTGAAAAAAGTCAAAAGTCGTGCCCCAATGAAAAATGTACCCATGTCTTCAGTTTTCATATTTGAGAAAGAATAGAAAAAAACTTGAGAAAAAATGATATATTGCCGAATTTTATAAATACCAGCCCTTATTTCGTAAAATTACAAAATTGGGTTCGGACAAAAATCCTCCTATAGACCATGTAAAAATCATAATTGTTCATAAAGTTTATATATAGAACTCAATGGGCAGAACCCATTTCAAAACAATGCAGGTGGAACAGGTCAACATAAGAAAACACCAGTTTACTGATTAGCTCGGACAAAAAATCAGTTCAATACTTGTTCTGGATAGTAAATATACATTTGAGCTATTTAACAACAGTATATATATATATTTATATATATATATATATATATATATATATATATATATATATATATATATATACACACACTAAAGATCCAGGAACTACCTACCTAGGTTTCACCTAAATGGATCTTCAGGTTAAGCTGGCTAAAGAGGAAATGACACAGAACATATTTATTAATAAAACTAACACTAAAAACTAAAATTAGCATAAACCTAAAATAGCATAAAACCATGTGACAAAAATAGAGAAAGCCAATTTTAAACAAAAAAAAACAAAACAAAACAAAAAAAAAATCTTTATTCCAATAACCAGGAATTCTTATGCCTGCATGTATTTAAGATTTCAGATCTTTGATTTAGTAAATTTTTTGGTTTATCGAACTTTTTGCTAACTTTTCCTCCATACATAATAAACAATATTTGTTACCTGCTTTATACTAGTGACATTTTTTTTTTTTTTTTTTTAATTATTTCCTATTTTAAAATGGCACTTTATGTTTTATCTTAGTTACTCGTTTGGTTTTTTTTTTCTTTGGACTGGAAATTTAAGGCACTGGACAATTTTTTTGGATGCTTTTAGTTCTTTCTTTTTTTTCCAATTTTTTTTCTCGGATACCAATTTGTTTTGACATATATACTTGCAAATTGTGCCATCTTGATTTTTTTTTTTACCAACTGAGTATAATTTTCAGTATAATATATAATAGCTAGCCACCCATATTCAAGGATTCCCGTCTACTAGGGCAGCTAGCCAATCTCCAATTCAGATGCTCGCTCAGGCACTTTTGTGTTTGTTCAACACTCACAGAGCCCACCTGTGGCTTATACTGCAACCATACTGAGCAAACCATAGTTACAGTTTCTGGGAGAGAGCGTGTTATCTAGCGTGATCAACAATCTGAACAAGGCCAGCATATTCAAACCCTCAGTCATGATGACTTGTAAATTTGTTCTATCACAGCTATTAATGGTCCCCTAAGTGTTCTGTCTACCCAATTTCACTCACAAGGCTTGGGTCAACCTGTGGTATGGTTTTCAGGCACTTTCTACGCTGGGATTGTCCCCCACAAGACCGATAACAGCAGGAAGTCTCCTTCCTAACAAATCAACCATGGTGAGATTCAAACCCAGGTCTCATGGTCAGAAAGCAAACATTCTAACCACATGCCCATAGTATTATAGATAGATAGATAGATAGATAGATAGATAGATAGATAGATAGATAGATAGATAGATTCCCTAGATAGATAGATAGATAGATAGATAGATAGAGATTTCCTGTTCCCTTTTTTTTTTTTTTTTTTTTTTTTTAAAGTTCATTACTAATTTTTTTTCATACTGATTGTGTTAGAATACAGTCCTATAGAAATATGGTATTTAGGAATTGGTAATACAAAAAAACCTTTTGAAATAGAATAAGATAAGTTGTCCATAAACACTATATTTTATCACTGTTCACAATTTGCTTTGCTGTAGTAATCCAGTCAATTGCTATGACTTCATTCTGTTCCAACATTTACTTTCGGGTATAATCTCCACTCTTAGCTTCCTTTAAGCTACATGTCTTTTGGAGCAGATAGATTCATATAAATCCTTATTAACCACAAAACATTTAATAGGGACAACTTTTTGATTATTACCATTATAAATTAATTCATTGTATAAGGTGGTCAAACAAATGACATGATCAAATCTCTCAATCAGAGCCAGAGTTTCACTAGCTAATGTACTTCTCACCAATCCTCTTATCTTCAATTGCCACTGAAGGCTCATTTGTAAACATCAACTGCTGAGCAAGAGTTTACTACCCTTTCTCAACAGATTTTACACCTATTTTCTTTTTCAAACTCTTGCTTCTTATCGCACTGATAGTTTTTAGTTGTGAATAATCAAGCCTAAATTAGCATTTCAATGGTTAACAATTATTATTATCCATTAAGACACAACCTCATGTCATTGTATCAAAACAAACCAATCATCTTTAAAAATTTCAAATTTAGGACAAATTCTAGGTATATCTGTGACTTGGTCATCTGTAATGACTACAGTCATAGCAAAGGTGTTAATATTTTAGCAGTAAAGCTGTAACATATTTCTGAGGAAGACCAAAATGTTTTTACTGAAATTAATAGTAGATAGGTTCACCTATTGCCCAGTTCACACTCCTTCCTCATCTTTTGAGCAGTAGATGTTTATCCCTCATTTTCTGTTTAAGATTTGGGTTTCTGGTACCTTCTAAAGTCTTTTCACTCTTTCATTTCCAGTAACTTAATCTTAGTAGCATTATGGCTCTGCTTGGGGTGAATTGATTACAAAAAAAAAAAAACTATTCTTCTAATGTTTATAGAGGTCTATCCCTTGTTTCCTGTTCCTTCTAAAGTCTTCTCATTCACTTTCACACCCAGTAACCCCTTTGCAACTTAGTGGCATTATTGCCTTTTTTGGGTGCAATGACTAAAAAAAAAAATCAGTAACAGGAATCAAAACAACAGAGATGTTGATACTAGGCTAAATACTTCATGTAATAAAAACAGTCCTAAGTGATTTACCACTGTATGTACAAGAAAAATTGAATTAATATCCAAATTACCTGGCTTTCATCGGCATGGATAATATTAATCCCCAAGACAGTGACACATTGCACCTTCTCAGGTTAATGTTTTCTGCTGACATGAAGTGGAAAGATTATATTGAACAAATTGCTAGTTCTGCTGCTCAGAAAATTGGTTAACTGTGTCATGTTAGACAATATTTCATACCAAAATCTATCTTACACATAAGTCTACCATTCATCCATGCATTGAATATTGTCACATTCGATCTGGTGTTTCTGATATATATTTAAAGATTCTTGATAAAATAGAAAGAATCTGCCATGTTTTCAGTCTTGACTCAGCATCTTTGCTCCAAGCACTTTCTAACCGCATAATGTAGCTTCCCTGTGCCTTTTCTATAAATATTTTCATGGTTTACTGATGAGTTTTCCTCTTTGCTATCTAGACTTTATAAATTCAAATGCAAATTGACACCTAGGTTTCATTTTATACTTGAAATGTTTACATATAGCCATAAGTTCTATACTAACTTGTAGAATTCACTTCAGGCTTCTTGCTTTATAGTCAACTTTGATCTTCAATAATATAAATGCAATGTCAATCATTATCTACCGTCTTCTCAATTCCTGTTTTTTTTTTTTTTTTTTTTTAATGTTTCCTCATATTCTTTCACACTCAATAACCACTTAAATCTTAGTGGCTTTATTGGTGAAATGATTAAAAATTTATATACAGTTTAAAGCTTTATCAAATGTAACACCTATACTTTTTATAGTTCCATTCTACTTTACTGTTAAGTATCAAATGTTTTTCTTTAGTGTCTAAATCTTACAAAAAATAAATAAAACTAAATAAATTTTAAAAAGTCACCTCATAAAATGCACCCTTTCATAGAAACAAGAAAATCCAGGATTTGAGAGAAATTCTTGAATCAAGGGAAGTAACTCTTTTTGCACAATAAGATGAAAACATATTTGAAAAAAAAATATACCAAAATATGTTTGCAATTTCATTGCAATTAATCACAAATTAATAATTATAAAATTTACATGAAAAGAAATGAATTAAAAATTAATCATGTCGGATAATTCTCTAATGAGATAATATTAATGCAATTATCTTAAAAACAAGATGTAAAATAATTTATACTGTCTAAAAAATTAGATTTTCTTGTGATTTATTGTGAATTCAATAAAAAGGGACATACATTTAAATTCACTCTTTTACAGAGTGAAACTCATGCTGTATTTACATGGTAGGGCAAAATGAGGAATGTGAACCTAACTTCATTTCTGCCAACAGGTCATTGTGAAAAAAAAAAAAAAAAGATACTGAAGACTGTGGCAGTAGGGAATTTATTAAGTGCAAAAGAGAAGTGGATTGCATCATGGAAGAACAGTTTGAGAATGAGGAAAAAAGCTCTGGTGGTCTAACGGATATGTCACATGGGTAAAGAAAAGGAGAAATGAGTGGAGGCAAGGAAGAGAGAAAAAATATAGAAGAGTGCAAGTGGCATCATATTATTTCATTTTGTTGTTTTTCTTTTTTGTCAATCAAGATGATGACCAAAACCTTACAACAACAGAAAGAGAGAAATCAGTATGAAAGGTTATAGGTCTATTTTCCTTCATTTTTTTTATTCCATTGTTTACCCCTAAAAAAGCAGGGCAGTTGACATAGAAATTACAGGAGTACAGATCAGTTTTGAAAAATTTTCCCCCACTTTTCTTTTTCTAATGAGTCACACTTTGCACAAAGGTGGTTTCACCAGTGTATGCTGGTTTGAACTCAGTCAAAAGGCATATTTTCTTCATCAAGTATCTCAAATGCTCAGGCCAGATGTTCAATTACATGGTTTACGAAACATGTCTATTTAAACATGTGTATCCATTAGATATAACGTTTACAATCATAAGAATGTAACAGAATTTTGAAGAAAATGTTTTAAGAGTGTGTACAGAAAAACAGTTATCCCTACTCTTTTGTTCAGATTATAAGTGTGGGTCACTTACTATAACTGATCTAAATAGAGTTTTTCTATCAGCTTTGCATTTGTAACATCTTTAAAGTCAATGTCAAGGCTACAAAACCAACAGTAACATAGGGATCATCAGCATTGACGCAACTATTTTCAGCAGTTACCTTTGATGAGAAGGACATGTTCCAAATGGAAGCCAACTAGCTCTCCCAAATAAATATTCTACATGGAATTAAGATCAATCTCCAAGAAATGAGTGGAAGTAGTAATACCAGATGCTGAAAGCAAATCTCAAGAACTGTAATATCAGCATTGACAAAAGAGAATATGACAAAGCTATCTAGAGAATCCATCATTTAGAGAGATCTCACTGACATTATTTTAAAGCCAGAAGAGAAATAAATAAATAATAGTTTTGGTGTTGAGTCTTGAGCTTCCACTTGGACTAGCCTGCTCTTATCTGACACCTGCATACATGTTCCACTAACTCCTGATCTCCAAGACAATCATGCCCAATTTGAGAAATTATCACATTGCTTGATATCCTATTACAATACGTTGCTCCATCTTGCACAGATATGTTCACCATCTTTATCTAGAGAAAACTAGCTTACAATCTTTCATAAAAGTTTCTTTATCACATTAATAAAGCAAAAAAGTAAAAATATTTATAACTGTCACAAATAAGCATATTTCAAAATAAATTTTTTTTTGTTGAACTTAAATCAGGCAAAACAAGATTAGCCATCAAACTATCCCAGACAATATTGATCACCATGCTGATTTTTAAAAAAATAAATAAAAAGAAAGAATAAAATGAAGAAATTAAAAAGAAATAATTAAAATGTTTACCTGACTGATCACATCCTTCATGTAAGGCTCCAAGTCGGTGAAAAGGTCATGACCTTGGTGGAAGAAGGTATTTTGTGCGTTCATGAAAGACAGCATCTGAAAGCAAAAACAAAGTCACAAAATGTATGATCTGTGCTAAAATACAAATCATTAGATTACCTCTGAGAATAGCAGAGATACATATATTCAAACAAACATCATATATATATAATTTTATAAAAGCTCTTCCCTTTAAGACAAATACCTTCCACCCTCACCTGACCACTGTCCTGTGCCTTTCGTCTGACTGAAACATTGAAATGGATAAATTCTGTATTAGTTTTTTCTGCAATGAAATTTCTTTTCCAGCATGACTCAGTCATACCAGAGTTTTTAATTTTCGTCTGTCAAAAATCCCCATAGGAGTTGATTTGGGATTTTACTGTATTAATTTTGCTTAATACATTGTCTCTTTTTGGATCAGTTTTAATATTTTATATTACTAGATTCCACTTGGATTATATACCAACAGATTGGTTAGCTTTACTATATATATATATATATATATATATATATATATGTATGTATGTATGTGTATTTAAGCAGCAATCCTTCATTTATACATATTTCATTAAAAACAACAGACAAGGTACTATGATTAAGCTTTTTATTTAATTTTTCTTCTGTTTGAACAAGTGTTTTCTTTTTTGGACACAGAGTGTGTAGAAACTGTCCAAATGTTCTATAATTCCAAGCAAATTGTCAAGGATGATTTTATCTTTCAATTTAATTGGGTATGTGTGTTGTGTGTAATGATAATTGGGTGTGTGTGTTGTGTGTAATGATAATTGGGTGTGTGCATTGTGTGTAATGATAATTGATGATAGCTAAAATTATAGCTGAAAGTGCTTGGAATTATAGAACATTTGGACAGTTTGATCAATATCAGTGAACCCTCTGTTACAATGACCTGTGACTTCATTTTAACACAGCCATTGACTGCTTTTCAAACAGTTCCATCTACTCAATTTCAATCACAAGGCTTGGCTCACCTGTGGTATGGTTTTCAGGCATTTTCCAAAGGTGCCACACATTGGGATCACCTCCCCAAAACAATAACATCAAGAAGTCACCTTCTTAACAAATTGACTCTAATGGGATTTGAACAAAGATCTATCCAGAAAGTGAACATTCTAATCATTTGGCAACACACAGAGTTTTTAACTGCTCCCTGTCAATGTTAATTTGTATTTAAGGATGTAAAAGAAAGTTTATTGTACCACTGGGCTTTATAGTTAGCATATTGTGTGAAAATTTTAAGAGTAACAGCTTAAAACAGGTGTAGTCTTTTTCAAAATACGTATATTTTTTATTATACATATTTGTTTGCTTTTATTTCAAAATACATAATGGCAGCAAATTAATTTGGCAGATTTTTAAGGAAGGTAATTTGAGAATGAGTTATTAACAGTGATATTTTTTTCTAATGAGTATGAGTGTATTTGCAAGTTAATACATATATGCATATACAGTTTGCACACATAAAAATATTTGTAAGTAATTATGTATGTACTGTACGATGGAGTAATGAATAGCCGCTCAGATTGAGGAATCTGAGAGCCGAGTTCGAATTCCATTTGAATCCATTACACTTACAAGCTAATACCCTTGTGAACAGTATGAATCCTCTTCTTCTCCCCCCACCTATGGTTAAATAGCAAGACAGACCAGGTTCTAGAGCCTTGGATGGCAACTGGTCTACTGCAGAAAGGAATGGCAACCTACTGCGGGAAAAAATCTGCCTCATCAGTCATGTATCAAAAGATATATGACCACCTAAGCATGTATCACGCATGGCACATAACTGACTGACTGTATTATATATCTATATATATTCATATTAGTAACAATATTTTTTATAAATATTGTAAAATTCTAAAATTAAATGCTAATACTATTGCATATATGTAGTCTGAAGTTCTTAATAAATTTTAAATTAATTGGCTTTTAAGCTTCCTCCACATGAATAAGAACTCACTTTTTGAATAATAATAATAATTCTATGTCATAGGGGGGAGGGCATCAGGATTTTAGAGATGCTTTGGTGGAGCATGTCTAAAAAAAAAAAAAAAAAAAAAAAAAGGTTGGGAACCACTGGCTTATATCAACCTATTAAATGAAGATAAGATTTTATTATTATAGTTGTAGCACAAATGCAAATTTCTGATACAGACAATGGGTTAATACTAATACATAAAATTCTTGAGGTGTTGCAGAAATATTCATTATGTCGCCTACAATATAGAAAATTTCTGAAGAGATTCATTTTGTAGTCATTTCACAGATTGAATCAAGGGAGATAATTCCATTTCATCGGAGGTATTCTGTAAAATTAGAGCCAATTTCATGTTGACATTTTAGTTATTTTGATAATGAGAACAAGTATGGCATATTCACTTTAAATCTAACCAAATACTCAAGCTACATATGCATTCAAATATCTGTAAAAAAAAATCTTAGATATTAGATATAATAATGTGTATGGACAGTTTATTTTAAAGTCAATGGTTTGCCAATAAAACTGGTATTAATCAGTGCTGATAAAAATGTTCAGGATATATTTATATAATACACCATATGAATTTCAACTAATAATATCTTTTTTTATTAGAAATATTTACAAGAATTTACTTGGTGGTGTGAAGTTGTCTTGTACAATTTGTGGGTTGTTTTTCATATTGTAAATATTTATATACTACTATAGTTATTGATATTTATTTTTTAATTACTGATATATAAAAATTGCCATGGGTCATAAAGAAATAAGCTTAAAGGAGAAACATGCTGTAAAGTTATTGAATGATGGAAGTACAACATTAGAAATTGTCAAAGAGATTGAACAGATATCAAAGAACAATGAATGCAACAATTAAAAACATTGACTAAGATAAAGACAAGTTTTCAGAATGTCACAAAGAGATTTGAGAACAATAGGATAATATATAACTGGTTTACCAGTCAAAATATTTGAAGAAACTGCTGTAGTGAATGTGAACAGAGAGAAAAGATGCAGAATATTAAGAACATTCGATAATTACATGAAAGCAAACCGAAGTACCACCTGAATGCAAATATTGCAACAAAGAGAAATGTTTTAAGACATTTTTTTTATGTTTATTCATTCTTTTTATAGTTTGTTTGTTTGTTTGTTTGTTTAAAACTTAACGACCCATCGATCAGCAAGAGATCATTTAAGGTCAAACAGTTGTTTTTTTTTTCTTTAAATAAGGTTGAAATGCTTTCAAATAACTTTCACTTTCCTTTCATTCTTTTTCGATGTTGTCTTGCTTTTTGTTTTTAAAAATTCACTGTTTTCAGAGGTGTGTTCTTTGAAAATTTCTCACTTTTTCCAACAAGTATCAAAAGGTTTCTCTTTTCATCATCAGACACCAAATTGGAATTATATTTTATTATATAGTCCAACTTTCCTAAGAAATGTCAAGATCAAATTGGGGTTTGATTTTTCGAAAAGTTCTTTCAAATTGTTCACCTTGTAAAATAGTTTTTTTAAATATGTGCCATGTCACCGCAATCAAGCAGGAAGTGCTTCAAGGTATAAACCTCCTGGCATGCTATGCATTCAGGAGGGTCTTCATCTTTAGTAGAAAGGAATGAGTTATGCGAGTGTGACCTATCAATCTGGATAAAAAACCACTTCTTCTTTGCGTGATTTTCTGTGTTCAGTTAGTTGTTTCTTTAGAGAGGGTTTGATTTGAAATAATTTGTTGTTTTGACAGCTGTTCCAAGCATCTTGCCATTTCTTCAAAATAAAGTCATTTATTAGGGTTTATAGTCAGTGTATGGAACTTTTATGTTACTTGTGTTAAGTTTCAGAGAAGTTTTGCAGCCACATCAGCTTTTTTCATTTCCATGAAAACCAGAGTGGCTGGGAATCCAACAGAAAATGATAGTTTTATTTTGTAAGATTGCAATCTTCTCTGTATCGTTCCAATTTTAGAATATGTACTGCCGAAGCGAGTACTCTTTTTATAGATACAAATATTTAAGTAAATGTATCAATGACATTTACCGGCCTGAATGTCTGAGAAATTTTCATAGAAAATATGCATCCTCCAACCTTGCTAACTGAAACACTCCTTTGTGGTTCAATTGATAAAAGCACGTCGGACTATATGATGGTTCCGTATAGGATACAGGTTCGATTCCTGTCAGTGGACGTATATTTTCTATGAAAATTTCTCAGACATTCACGCCGGTAAATGTTGTTAATACTGTTTATTATAAACAGAGCATTTACTTAAATATCTTTATCTATAAAAAGTACGCATAAACATAAAAAATGTCTTAAAAAAATTGTCAGACTTTGTCCATTTCCTAAAGAGAAATGTCTAATTTGGAAGTACATGAAAACTGATTTCTTAACAGTAATTGTTAGTGATGAATATAGAGCTATATTGGATGAGCCTGGTTAGAAATAGTCAATCAATACAACTTTATAAGACAAAAGTGGGGGAGGTGGAGTAATGTTTTTGGCTAGTACTGTAGGCAGTAAAATTATAGGTTCCTTGAAAGTTGGTGGTGGCAAGATAAATGCAGAGAAGTTATTGGACAAGAAGTGTTTTTTTTTTGTTTTTTGTTTTTTTTAATATTACAGCTAACATCCAAGAAGTTTTAAGTGAAAGAGTATATCCATGTCTAGCTGTAAAGATATATGGAGGGAACTGATCAGGTGCTCAGCAACCCTCTGACCACACCCAGTCATGGGACAGATTATGAAGAAGACAACCTCCTGAAAGTTATTTTACCCTCATTGCTTGGTTAATATCAATTTCATTATGCTAGAATTAACTTGAGTAATAAAATCTGGTAGTGTATCTACTTTTCTCAATCTATTAATAAGCATAAAGTAGAGAATTAGTTTTACAAATTGATCTTTCATAACAGATCCAAGAGATATAAGCTAAATTCTGACAAAGAAAAAAAATTACATGCCTTACTGGACACTCCTGATAGAGTTAAAACCTTTAGCATACTGCATTATTAATATTACTTCCCTTTTCAATGTATTCTTTTTCAAGGTGTCTCATTTGCAATATCCTTATTGTTAATTTCACTCAAAGTTGTTTTCTGTTGTCATAGCAGGATATGACAACACAACCATAAAATTCAAAGACTATTGTTTAAGGATCAGAGTCACTTTCAGCAGTAGGATAAACTTTTTGTTCAGCAAATGAAGTCACATAAATAGTGATAAAGGTTAACAAGTTTTCTTCTGACAATATCACAGTCTGTTGCTCATGGGAATCATAATAGAAAGGAAACATAGAAGGGCATCACCACTCTCTCTTTTATGTCATTATTGTATTCCTTGGTAAAGAGACGTGATAAAAGGGAAGATAAAATTCATGCCTTTCCCAACCTGAAACTGATATCAGACAAGACAACTGAAATATGAATCGAGTGATTTCATGATTTGCTATCAACTGTCACAAAATGTACAACTATCAGATTTAAAAAAAAAAATTAAATTTTAATATGACACTTACATACTCCTACCTTATATAAAGAAACTGGATAGATTGGTTGGTCTGTATCCAGGCAGATAAATAGAAAATCTTTGTTTCCATTTAATCCTTTATGCTTTTATTTTTTTTTTATTGATACAGAAAGTATTAACCCTAAAATGTTTGTGATATCATTTAAGATGCCAATTTACAAACTAAATATAAGCAGACATTGTTTTCTCCAAACTGAAAGAAAAAATCTCCTACAGACTACAAATGTCTGTTGTAGTACAATGATATCAAGCATCATGCCATCTAGTGAGCAGCTGTGAAACTATCGTGATAAAGATGAGCAAGGGGTTTAATCTTTGAAAATCAGTTTTTGTGTTCTACGGTTAAGCTCATACAAATTTTTATGTCTAGTAAAATGTGAAGATTGATTGATTTATTTTTTACTGCTTATCAACTCTTTACAGGGTATTTAAAGCCAGAACATTTTTACTTTGTAAGAATTTGTTTTAGATATGTTTAGGGATACAAGTCTTACTAATTAACCTACAGCTGGGGGGTGGGGGGTTTATTCCTACCTTTCCCGAGGGTATATGCATGTAAGTGAATATAACAAACCCAACAGGAATTGAAATTTGACTCTCTAATTAACAATTCTGAGCCATTATCCATTACACCATCTGCATATCCACAATTACAACACCTGGTATTCCCAATCGGCAAGCCATCTAGATACTGACCAGGATTGATGTTGTTTAACTTCTGTGATTGTACGGAAACTGGTGTTTTCAATGTGATGGCCATAAGCAGAAAAAAAAAAAAATGAAAAGAAAAAAAAAAAAGTTAAAAACCAATAGGCCTGAAGATTTTAAAAAGATTTTGTTTTTATTTTTTTTTTACAGCTTATCAACCCTTTCGGGATTATTTAAAGCCAAAACAGATTACAGATTGTAGGAGGTTACTTACAGTACATGGTGTTCCCAAACCGTCCCCCATCTAAGTACTAAACAGGCTCAACACTACCTAACTTCAGGGATCAAACAAGAACTGGTATTTTCAGCATAATTTAGTTTGGTATAAAATGACAATTGGAAAAAAAATCTTAGATTTTTCCAACGTGTTTCGTCTTCCGACTTTTTCAAGGCAAAAATGAAATCGAAATGTCTTTGTTGTGATAGTTACATTAAAAAAAACCAAATTTAAAAAGATAGATGCTTCTGTCTAAGCCTTTTTCTGTTTAATGTAAATTTCATTTATACTAAGAGATTTTTTTTTTCCCATGTCAACAATACAGTTAAATTCCCAGATCAATTCTGTGGACAAGACAAATTGGTATAAAATGACAATTGGAAAAAAAATCTTAGATTTAGTTTCTCGAAATTCACCTCTCCTTTCTAACTTGGGACATAAAATGAGAGAGTAATCCTCTAATTCTAAAATAATCACTGAATGAATCAGAATGTACATCCAAAGGCATAGTTACAAACTATAGGCTTTTAAAATTAGATAAACTAAGAGACCAGTATTAATCATATACCAGATCGATACCTGATTTCAAGGATAATAGATGTTGAAAACATTTACCAGCACATGTGGCATAATCTATATTACCAACATTCCATAGTTTTACTCAAGGCATTCAATAGCTAAGTGCAAAACCCAGTTCCTGCCTTGTAGACAATGAGCAGAGGATATGGGTATTTTATTATCCTGAATGTTAACTTAAATAAAGAATGGGATTCCAACAAACTATTAATACTATAGCAAAATAAATACAACGTGACCAAAAGTCACACTACCCAATCACTGAAATATAAATTTTTACTAAATGAAGCAATACTTCTGTATATAACAAAATATGATTTGGAAATTTAGAATCAGAAAGTTTAAATTTCTAGAACACATAATGAGGAAAGAGGGTTTGGAAAATCTGACACTCACAGCATATACTGAAAATAAGAGGGACAGAGGAAACCAGTAAATATCCTACCTTATGCAAATGACTGTCAGAACAGAGAGTAGGAAGTATAACAAAATGATAAACCTTACTAAGAGCTACAAATGAATTTATAGAGAGCCATGATCACCTACATTCTGAAAGGACACAGCAAATAGAAGAAAGACATCTTAATGGATTAGGTAGTTGCTATTACCGCAGTCATGTCAGTAATCAGTACTTAAGCAACAATCAAAGCCTGAAGGTCAAATGTGAGCATTCCCTCCTGCAATTGAATCATGACTTTTTGGGCTACCATCTATTTTTTTTCTATCAAGTTTTGCCCACATTTTTATTATTTTTTTTAAATAATAAAAACTTCATTGTAGATGTTTGTTCATTTTGATTTTAGAGATGTCTTTTGGTAAAAAATGAGAATAATATAGCAATTATATGAGATATTTCCTATCTTCCTTCATATAAAAAAAAAAAAATCCCACTACTTTACAGTTTAGAATCATTGTTCAATTGATATAGTCAATTATAGTTCTTAGTAGATTATATTTCCTTCAACTTTGCCCTTATTCTTGAACAAATGTTATTTTATGATCAAGAAAAAGCAGAGTTGCCCAGCAACAAAACACAAGTAAATTTTTTATACTCACTGTTTCTAACACCTCAAAACGTTTCTTCAAACGTAAAACATTAATCTGAAATTTAGAGAAAAAGAAAAAAAATAATTTTTGCTTCAACAGGGATTAAAAAAAACAAAAACAATATGAACATAAATTCATCTAGATATACTTTGAAGAGAAATTAAAAAAAGAAAAATATTGTTCTTTTTAAAAATAAATTTATATCATTTATATATACATATGCACAAGCACACGCAATATCCGGAAAGTATCCAGCTACTTTGAATATCCGAGTTGTGCAATATGACAACCATTAAATGGGACCTTGCTGAATATGTCAACACTCCCACAGGGTTAATTTTTTTTTTTTTTTTTAAGTTGTTCAAAGTCCAAGAGCCACTAAAGGTGGAGGGTTACTGCATGATGTTGAAAATAAATAATTGTTAGCTCGAGACCTGAAGAGGTTAATATTGTAGTGATCAGGAAAGCCTCCTCTCAGGAGTCTGTTCTACAAAGTAGCAGCTCTTGGGAAAAAGCTGTCCAAATGGAATGTCTTTGTTACCAATGGATTACAAAGGGAATGAAAATAATTCCACCCTGTATATAGTATGGTAGGTCCTTGGTGTAAAGCTCTGAACTGGTGGCCCACTCTAAACCAATAGCTCATCTGAACATTTGCCATGAAGATAGTGATATAGTAAGAAAAGGTTTGCCACATTTTGTCTCTGGTAAACAGATTGTTGAGTGGAAAATAATTTACTGCTCATAAAGCCACTTAAATACTTTTGAACTCTGTCAAGGTTTGAAAGGGAATGAAATACCACTGAGTGAGCTTGTGTACTATGTGAATGTCACATTCGTCATGAAAATGTGACAACTGTCATCTTATGCAGGATTGAGTTTTTTTTTTTCGTTTTACAAAAAAAAAAGAAAAAAAAAAAAAAGACAAAAACATTCCATCACCCAGGTCTATAAAGCACCTTATACTTTGTCACCCAATGACCTCTGGCTTTTCTCAAAGCTATAATTGACATTGAATCAGCTTGGCCAAGATTAATTAAACACAACAAAACATCTAATAGTGATCCTGAAAAAAAGAAATTGAAGTCCTGAGGGGAACACACACTGAAGAAGACTCAATGTAGGCTATATTTTCTATAATATTAAATAACATTTCAGCACATACCACATACAAGTGGACATTGAGGTTAACACCCAGCAACAATAGTGTTTCATCCTGAAGATTGTGCTTAAACATAAAAAAGACTATTGCTATTGGGTGTTGACCTCAATGTCCACTTTTATATTTACATACACTATCACTGATATTGAGCACTATAACTCATAAATATAGCAGACCTTAAAAGAGAGTGTGTGTGTGTGTGTGTGTGTATATATATACACACACATTTCATTTAAAAAATATGAAAATAGCGTTTCTCTACATTCCAGTTGCTAGGTACATTCTGTTTTTGTTTTTATTAGTTACGTTGTTCATTTAATTTCATTTTCGTATTTTGCTTTGATAAAGTCCACATTGGACCCTTAGCCAGTCAATTTACCAAAGTTTTCCTATTGTCATTTTTATTCATAAATATATATATATATACACACACACACAAGGAGATATATATATATTATATAATTATTTTTAAAAAAATGATTCTTTCGCTACATAAAATTTTCGCTTGAGGATTAAAACAGTGCTTGATACTTTAACTCAATTAATTTAATTTTAATAATTATATTGAGGTTTTCAGCTCTCATTTTTGAAACATGAGAACTGTTATGTAGTGAAGTAATCATATTTTTTTAAAAAATAATTGTAATTTAAGCTCTACTTCTGTATGGAGCTCTGTTTTTTAAAAATAAAAACAAAAAACTAAAGAACTCCGGATTATTTACCTAACGTGTTCTTTCCTATATATATATATATATATATATATATACACACACTTATTATTCATAAGTATGAAAAGAGGAAAACTTTTTATGTCAATACATATTCATTCCTTGACAAATTTTATCAAGGCAGATGAAGAAATTTTCTTTAGAGACTTATTTGTACATTTTGTTGTTGTTTTTTTTTTTTATTTAAAAATTGTATACATTTCTTCTGTTTATATCAGTACAGCTTTCTGATAAAATTTCCACATTTGCCTTGATAAAATTCAAAGAATGAAATGCATTGGCATAAATGGTTTTCCTTGTCATTTTTTTTTTTTATTAATATTGCCTTTGCAGATACACATAATCACAATTCAGATGGGCTGGTCATGTCATCAGAATGAGTGATGATTGGATGCTGAAAATCTTCATGTATAGCCAACTTTTTCATGGTAAGTGTAATGTAGGCCATCCTTGGTTACGCTTCAAGGACAAACTTAAATACAATTTAAATGCTGCAAACATCCCTATAGAGGAATTCGAACTTGCTGTTGAAAACTGAGCAAACTCGAGAAATACCTGCTACTGAAGTATAACTAACTTTGAAAAGAATCGTCTCAACCTTCTGAGAGAATTAAGAGCCAACACTAAATCTTGGGTCAGTATATCAGCCCCTATGACAGTCAACCCTTCAGCATGTCCCTCATGTGGACTTGTCTGCAAACCCCATGCAGGATTGTTGTATCATATGAAACAAACATAAAAACTGAACTGAAAGACACTCATGTTGAAAACAATGAGAGAGTCCATAATATTTTATTATATATATATATATATATATATATATATATATATATATACACGCAGCATATCTTCATGCAAGCATGTTTGGTTGAGTAATCCGGACATTTTTTTTTTTTTTTTTTTTTAGCGTTTCACCCCAAGCAAGGCGAGAAGCCACTAGGATGCAAGGGGTTACAGAAAATTTGGAGCAAGATCAGATAGGAGTGATAGAAAAAAGGATGAGGAGAAGGGTAGTGGATAGATCAAGGCAACTGGAGATGTCGATTGACATTACATTTCCTCTCAGGGAAACTGGAATAGGGAAGGGAGTTCCAGAGGCAAGAGGTGCAAGACATGAAGCTATTGGAGTAGAAGAGACGCCTACATTTAGGGAGTTTAGATTGGTGAAAGGGTGAGAGCGGGATGCCAGCCTCATGGGGCGCTTGAACTCATGAAGTCTGGGAACCAGCCCAATGCAGCTCCTCGGAGCAATTGCCATGAAAGTATTTGTAAAACAGAGAGAGAGAGGCGATGGCGCGTCTGTGAGAAAGTGACTGTAGACAAGATGCCAGAACAGGGCCAATTATATTGCATATCTGCCTCTGGAGCCTATTGAGAACCCCAAGGCAAACAGAAGGGGCTCCAGACCATATATGGCAGCAATACTACATGCAAGGATGAATTGTTGATTTGTAGATGTGGAGGATCGATTCCGGGGAGAAAAATTTCCTGGCGTGGCACAGAGAGCCAACTTTCCTTGCAGTGGACGAAGCAATTGACTCAATGTATTTGTTCCAGGTCAGCAGTCAACGTGAAACCGAGCAGCCGCAGAGAGGTGCTCTCAAGAAGTTGAGCATCAGACATTCTAATGGAGGGCAGGGAAGGATCTCTGTGGTGACTAATAGAGAGCAGTTTTGTTTTTGAAGCATTAAAGTTGACCAGCCAATTCCTGCCCCAGTTCACAACCGAGTGGAGATCCTTTTCGAGATGCACAGCCAGGTTAGTTTTGTCAGTGACACTAGATTTGTTTTCGAGGCAGGAATAAATTGTGGTGTTGTCTGCATAGATGCCAACTTGGGAATTTATGGTGTCAGGAAGGTCATTTATGTAGATAAGGAATAGAGTAGGGCCCAGGATGGAGACTTGAGGAACACCTGCGTTCGTGGGATAGGAACTGGAGGAGAATCCGTTGAGAACGACCTTCAATTCATGGTTTGACAGGAATGATTGTATGAGGTCAAACAATCGACCCGTAATGCTATAACCCTGGAGCTTGTGAAGAAGGCTGGCATGCTAAACCCTATCAAACGCTTTGGAGATGTCTAGGGCCACGGCACGAGCTTCCCCGTTATTTTGAATAGCTTGGTAGACAGTTTCAGTGATGGCCGTAAGCACATCAGCTGTAGATCGGGCAAAGCGGAAGCCATATTGCTTGTCTGAGAGCAGATCATGGGATGTGAGGTGGTTAACCACTTCGGTATTGATTAGAGCTTCGAAGACTTTGCCGAAGAGGGGTAAGAGACTGATAGGATAGTAGTTAGAAGGATCAGAGGGGTCGCCAGATTTCTTGAAGACAGGAACAATCGAAGAGGACTTCCAGCAGTCAGGAAAACAAAATTCCTTGAGGCAGTAGTTATATAGTTTAGAGAGGGCGGGCGCCAGTTCAGGCGCGCATTTCTTCAAGACAATGGCTGGTATCCCATCTCCACCACTCGCCTTGTTGGGGTCTAAATTGGAGATAATGCCCAATACCAAAGACAGGGTTATGTGTAACCCACTCAATAGGGCCTCAGTTCTAAGAGGGAAGTCAGGTATGGGTACACCAGAAGAGTTGAGTGTTGAGTTGAATGAAAATTTCTGAACAAAGCATACAGCCTTGTCGGCAGAGGAGGTCAGGACTTCGAACTGGTTGAACAAAGGAAGTATAGCGGGTTTGCAATTGTTCAATACGCTCTTGCAGAGACGCCAATAATCTTTGGAGCCAAATTTGCGAGATGCAATACACTCCTTCATCTGAACAGCAAATAGTGACTTATGTCAATTTTTATTTTAATTCTCTTGAATTCTCAGCTCAACTTCTTAATGTTAAGTAATTATGGAAGGTGTTGTAGTTTTTTTTCATTTCTTTTATTAAAGCTATTATGTTTTTTTAATGTTTTATCTAAGGGAGGTAAGTTCAATTTATATAATTGTAATTCTTTTTTATTATTACAATTTAAATATCTCAAATACATTGCTATTAGACATTTTAAAACATTCTTGCTATAATGATAACTAACCTTATTTAGTGTTTTTTGGATTTTTCTTATAGTGAGAGCCTCAAGAATTTGAAGTTTTTGTTTTTTATTATTATTTTGGATAAGATTTAAAGTACTTGGGAAAATAAAAGAAATGAAAAAACTATGGTACCATGGTACCTTCCTCAATGAATTTAATATCACCATGAAGAAGTTGATCCAAGAATTTGAGAGGATTAAAATAAAATGGACATTTTGTCCAGATTATTCAACATGCTTATATATATATATATATATTACACACACATTAAATAGAAATCTTATTTAAAAAAAAAAAATCTTCACAGTAAAATTTATAAACTTTTTGACTCAAGACATATACCACTTATCGATAAGAGAATATAATCATAACACTACATACATTTAGACACAAACAAAGACATTTTAGTATCAAGTTTCTGAGATAAGTTGTATTAAATATTAAGTCCTAAGATTTTAAAATGATGAAGTATTTAGAATACTATTTTTAACGTATTTTATCTAACCATTCAAAACTCCAGGTATAATCATCTCATATTTTTTTGAAAGTTCCCTGAAGGTCATGATTAGGATTTAAAAGGAGTTCCTTTTTTGGTCAAAGCACTTAGTAGCACTTTACATAGCTCATATAAAAGATTTTATGAGTATTCTATTTTTTTTGTAAATAATAAAATTTTGTTTCTTATCAAAGCTGGTAAAAATGGGTGCCGATTTTATAAATTTGAGTTCATTTTTAATACTGTATTCATAACAGTTGATTTAACCTGTGATATCACGTGTAAGAATTATTAAACAAATATATGTTAAAACTTTTATTCACTTTAATAGTTATTATATATAAGAGGGAGAGAAAGAGGGAGATAAGGCTGAACCAATAAGCTTTAAGCCTGACAGTTATTAGCTGAAATTTTCACCACCTAATTTTTATCTATAATGATTAATAGAGAAACATTAGGTTAATAAGTACATGAAGAAAATGTTGAAAAACAGACTTCTAAATGTTTTTCCATTATTAGGCTATAGGATTATTGGGGGGGGGGGCGAGGATGCACATTATTCTAAGGGCAAGGACAAAAACAAAAAAACTACAGTCCACAGCTGTATTTTAGTGTTGACAGAATTTAGACATTGCTTTTTTTTTTTTTTGAGATGAGGAAATGTTAATATACTTTAACTTACTCAAATTATTATTTTCATCTTGCTTATAATGATACTATTAAAAGACAACGTTTCAACTAAGTACCCTATGACCATCTTCAGGTGTCCAATACTGTTTTTGATTTTTGAGATGAAGATTGCTAATATACTTTAACTGATTTAATTTATTGAAACTATTGTTTTCATCTTTGACTGTTATAGATATAATTATAGACATAACATTTTGGTTAAATAAGGTATTTTTCAGAGTCTTTCAATCCAATGTCACAATGGACAAGTACAAGACATTCAATATCAGACAAAATAATGGTCTCTAAAGTTGGCTTAAATGTCGTATCTGTAATAACATCTATGAAAATTAAAAATGAGAACAATAAACTAGCTTGATTTTTTACTACCATCATTTTACTTTTGTCATTTTATGCATGGAATAAAATTTATGGTTAGTATTAAAACAAAAAAAAAAACTGATGCTAAGACACTGGATTTTGTAATTAAAATTTCTTTTAGTACACCATTTGTATGTTATACAAAGAATTTGAAATCAGAAAGAAAGGGATTGTCAATGGCAAGGAATTAAGTAATCTTTACTCATAGTATACGGCAATTATACATACAACATAAATGCATTGCTAATGATTTTTTACTATAGAAATACATTAAAAATCTGTCAGATAGGGATTGTATGCAGTCAGGAATTAATGCAGGATTTTGTTGTAAGTCACTCCTAGCAGCTATATGTCTCGCTTAGGCTACTCACCATAACACCATCAATTCTTTCTCCTCAACTGACTCCAATACACTTCCCCTGACTCACTTTGTTCTTTATTTAAAGCATCTTGCCTCATTCAATTGTGTTACCAGGGGTGTCTTATTTACTCCACAACAGATTTACTGACAGATTAAGGTTATTATATGTATAATATAAATGCATTACTAATAAATTTACTATATAATGCATTGAAAAATCAAGGAAAATGGTTTCCATGGTTACGAATTAATGCAAACATTACTGGCAGAACAGATCTATATAATAAATACGTTTTTACTATAGGAATGTGTTCAGGCTCAGGAAGGGATTGTCAGTGGTGAGGAATGACTGCAAAGATTACTGATAAAATATGGCAATTATGTTTAATGAAAATGCATTGCTGATTTTACCAGAGGAAAAAAATAATTACAAATCAGGGTAAAAAAAAAAAAGAACAGGAATTGAAGTATAAGAATCTCAGCAAAAAAAGTACTGCACTTCATCAGGGGTTCATTAGTTTTTTTATTGCCTTTATATTAATGAAAAAGGAAAAAACAAAACAAATCTGTGCCTTTGAAGAGAAGGTATATTTACTCACCTGGTAAACATAATCAAGGGAATTATGAGCAAAGGCAGACCTTGTTGCAATAAGTCCATTTGTTGCCTCTTCACATTCCTGAGGCTTGCTTCGTAGAACATTGGAATTACGTATCAAAGCATTATCCATGTCATCGCTTATTTTCTCAAAGTATTTCTTTGCATCTTTTACTTTGCGGATATCACTGGAAAATGGGCAAAGGAAACAAAATGAAAGTTATTCAATTAATAAAATTTGTTTACAAGAAAATTATCTACATTATACTATCTCAGTCCCATAATAGTTGTTAAATTTACATACACATTACATGCAATATTATATAACAAGTATTATGGGACAGTGAGAGCAATGCTTTAATTTATTGCCTAAATAAAATACTACTATGAATGTGTTAAATGTAACATGTTGCTCAGAGCACACTATAGAGCGGGGTTTTTCAAACTGTGGGCCCAGACCCTTTCAGAGGGTCACAAGATAAATAAAATGGATTGTGGTAATAAAAAAAAAAAAAAAAAAAAAAAAAAAAAAAAATACACAAGAGAGCAAAGTGCGTAATATAAACGACTCTAAATGTTGCACAGCACTCATAAATCATTGCTAGTTTTCTCGTATTATATTTTATATATATATATATATATATATATATATATATATATATATATATATATATATATATATATTTTTTAAAACATATTTATGTTTAACATTTTATTTTATAGATACAAGTATTTAAGCAAATGCTCTGTTTATGATAAACAGTATTAAATAACATTTACCGCCCTGAATGTCCGAGAAATTTTTCATAGAAAATTTTCGTTTCTTTAACAGGATTCAACCTGCATCCTATACGGAACCGGCATATACGCTGACGTGTGCACCGCCAGCTACAAAAGAAGCGTTCGTAGAACAGGTCAATTTACTGCTTATAAACTCCAATTTTCCATGTTTAACGTTGTTATTTTATAGATAAAACATAATTTTATATTTATAGATTTAAACATAAAATATGTCTTTAATAAATAAATTGTCGGACCTTGTCCATTTCTTAATATATGACGTCATTTGTTTACATTCGATATGCCAGAGCAGTTATGAATATACAAGATTCATGGAAAATTGAGTTTATAAGCAGTATATGACGTTCCAGATAGGATGCAGGTTCGAATCGTCAAAGAAACGAAAATTTTCTATGAAAATTTCTCGGATTCAGGCCGGTAAATGTTATTTAATACTGTTTATCATAAACAGAGCATTTGCTTAAATACTTGTATCTATAAAATAACAACGTTAAACATAAAATATGTCTTTAATAAATAAATTGTCGGACCTGTCCATTTCTTAATATATGACGTCATTTGTTTACATTCGATCGCCAGAGCAGTTATGAATGTACGAGATTCATGGAAAATTGGAGTTTATAAGCAGTAAATTCACCTTGTCTACCTAACGCTTCTTTTGTAGCCTAGCGGTAAGGCACGCTAGCGTATATGACGGTTCATTATAGGATGCAGGTTCAATCAGATCAAAGAACGAAAATTTTCTATAAAATTTCCTCGGACATTCAGGCCGATAAATGTTATTTAATACTGTTTATCATAAACAGAGCATTTGCTTAAATACTTGTATCTATAAAATAACAACGTTAAACATAAAATATGTCTTTAATAAATAAATTGTCAGACCTTGTCCATTTCTTAATATATATATATATATATACACACACAGAGTCTGTTCTCATTGAGTTTATGTATCTTGTTTGTCAAAGTCATTGCAGATTGAGTGACATCAGTTCTCTCCCACAAAGAGACCTTGTGCTAAAACTTAGCTATGAAGGTGTGCAGTGCACTTGTCTCCATGAAGATTGTTGAATAATTTAGCTGCATCTGAATCAGGGCTAAAAGTGAATTTCCCCAATTCAATGTCAAAGTCGAATACTTGTACTTACTTTCTGTGGTAGTAAGATGATGTGTTGTGTTCATTTGAAATCTCAGAATTTTCAGTGAGTTGACTTGTTTTGGCAAAATTTAAGAACAGGCTATTTTTTTTTTTTTTTTTAAAGTAATAATTTTATATTCATACAAATAGATAATACAAATAGATATATGCAATTCCAATATGTGCGGATCATAAAAAATATACATATAAATTGTCAATGATAAATAAATGAACTTAATGAAGAGAGTTTGTCTTCGATTTATTACAGGTAGCTATCATGGGACACAATGCCAAATGTGGTTCTTGCTGTGGGTTGCACTAAAAAAAGGTTGAAACTAGTGATTGAGCTATGGTCAGAAAGGTGTAGAGTGACACCTTTCTGACCATAGCTCAATTAGATCTCATTTAGATATTCATGTAGACTTACCGGACACTATTTGTAATATACTTGTTGACAACACAAATATAATAGCATCATCTACATGCAAGAAAAAGGCTAAAAAATAATGGAAGCCTTATTAATAAAAACAAAAAGCCAACACTTAATAATATCAACTATGAACATGGACACAATATCTTGACCGTGTTTTGAAAAATGAAAATATTAGATAAATACATATATGCAACAAACTATTTCTTA